TGTAATGAGTTGTTTGATTATAGTGCTTTGAGCAGAAACAAAAACGCACTGACCGAATGTATCCAGTGTCAAGTACAACAATGATTAATGAATGAATATGAACACGTACACCCTATCAGTCTCACCCATAACGATGTTATGTTAAGAGTAACAAAGAAGAAATGTTGGAAAGAAAAGTAAATAAATACTACGAAGAAAAAGTTATGAAACGCAACAAATAAATGACTAGAGGATTGTACGGTGTGCAAAACCGGAAGAGGAAATTCGTAAAGCTTGTGCCTTGGTGTAAAGTTGAAAGGAAGGAAAGATACAAGCAAGGAGTAGAAAAAATGGATATGGTATTTGTACAAAACTCCGTTCATCCGATTCTAAGTTTTTAACCGTGCAAGCAAGCTGAAAAAAGAATTGTGGCAGGACATCTCTTTGCGGAAAATGTAAGCATGAACGTTAATGTAAAAGATGAGGGATTCTTCACAGCGTGAACCCTTCTCGACTAAGGGACAGATCTTTGTAATTCCATGTTTTCATCAGAAATTACTTGCCCTTGAGTCAAATCCTCGCTCCCTAGCCATTCTCATTTTCCTGGGCTGTTAGAGTTCGTTTGCTATGGTCATATTCATGCTTGGCTCGCATTGTTTTCTCAGCTAGTCGTCTTGCCACCTCAAATCTACCGCACCATACATGTGATGGGCAAGTCCTACGGTCGTCAGTGTCAAGGATCACCTCTGAAAAAGTGTTATAAGGAAATGGGTAAAAGGAACTAGTTAAGGTGAAGACTACCTAAACTCGCTAGAGAGTTCTCCAGTTCTGGTCGAGGTTGAACGCTCCTAAGGTATTTATAGGGAATTCGGAAGATTACGCTTGATGGTTCAGAATTCACCTAAAGAGAAGACAAGTTTTCTCGCAAAATACAGAAGGCTGTGGGATTTACACGACGTAGAGGTAGCAAAGTCACTTACCTGTCGACATACATAGCACTGTCTCGTCGATATAAGCACGTATTGCCGAATCAAATCTTCACCTTTGAACTGCTCAAGGCATACTTCGACATCAAGTAGTCTACAAAATTACTGTAAGTCTAAATTTTTATTCTTTCTAGGCCCTTTTCCTTCTGCTAATATAAGCAATAGCGCCCTTATCTACTGCAGAATACTATTAAAAGCACACTTTGTTTAGAAGATTTTTTAAAAAATTGTGTTAAAGTTGAACGGCGGCAACTAGTTTCTACCTGCCTGTTTGCATAAAAAGATCTATAACGGCTATAAAAAAGAAGGAAAGAATAGTTCTTGCCGGAAACTTGCGCTTTCACTAAAGGATGATCTGTAACCAATGTATCTTATGAATTTCTCTGACGATAAATGGAGACTAGTTTCAAAAATGTAAACTCAAAGAAAAGGTTTGTAAGAACTAATAATATCTCACAAAAAGACAAAAAAAAATAAGTTAAGTGCTGTAGAACGATATTCTTGAAAGAAAGGTTTCTGTCAAAAAAAATTCAAAAGCACTACCCCTTCTAAACAAATCCATAAATTTCTATACCAAATGATCATTATACACTACTTTCCAAATTTAAAAGATGATCTAGAAAATTGAAGACATTTCATGCAAAAATCCCACCTTTCTTTTGTCGAATATCCATTAATTCGCATCATTTCCATCTGAGCGTTCGCAAGTTGTATGCTGTACGGTGGAAGAAGATGGTAAAGGTTACGACATAAGCGTGGTGGACGTATCCTCCTTAAACAAATAAAACAACAATGATGACTAAAATGAAAAAAGGGGAAAAAA